AAATAAAAATAAAAATAAAAGTAGAGAGATCACAGATAAAAATGCAGACTCCTAGCTTCTCTAGAAACATGAAAACAACTGGCAATACTATATCCATCCTCCTAAAGAATTACTACCGGCTGGGATGGAACAGCACACACTCTCCAACATGCTGAAGTCCCCCTACTCCTGCTGCTTTTGCCCAGGGCCTGCATCATTCATAGATGTTCACTGGCCAACCTCCGCAGATGCTGGTGTCTTAGACAAGGCACTCTCATTCTGTCCCAATAACAGTGTCTCACAAACACGCAATCTGAGGCTCAGAGTGGTACAATTCCATGCTTAATAACATACCACCAAACAAATGTTAGTACGTACCATACCCCAAATTTTCCCAGGTATGCATTTCAAGACTTTGGTTAGGTTCCTTGAATCCCAGACCAGATGATGCATCATCATTCAATATAAGTAGAACGTTAGTTTCTGATTTTAGAGAAACTAAACCTTCTTATCAAGGTCAGAAAACAGTTCCAAAGCTAATGACTTACAGAACTTCTCTGAACATCCTGTTCAGTCTTAGCATACATCTCAGACAGATCACCATTTAGGATGACATCAGCTAATGAGTTCACCAGCGGTGCATGGTGTATAATCAGGAACACCTGGTGAAAAAGAAGAAATAGGATTTGCATTAAAGGGTATAGTCTTTTGACTTCTTCCTTCCCCAATCAGAAACAACCCGGCTGGGCTACATAAAGGTCTATATTAAGCAGTAATTCCTGTGATGCAAACTCCAAAGAATGGGTCCCATTTAGCAGAAGTCAGTTACATTCTTCTCCTAAGGTTGGCCTGTTCTTCAGACTGTTGTCTATTTGGCTGACTGCTCTTCCTCAGAAGGAAGTACCTTGCCTTAAGGCAAGACTGTACCTCATAGCTGGATGAAGCCAAATCTGGCTAAAGTAGAACAATGTGGGAAAGGAACAGACAAACCAGCACACTCCTTCCTTTCCATGGGCACTTTAGTATCAAACTTGATTATGATAAGACTAGAAGGCATCATCCCAGTTCTTTAGCTATATAGGATGAAGGGGCCAGGGAGTTCTGCTCCAATCAAAGACTTAGCAAAGGGTTGGCTACACAGAAATTTCATCACTGGGAGCAGCTCTGACTCTTTCGGTAGGTTTTAAAACATTGGGATTCCATAGCAGCATCAGAAAGTGTGGAAACTGTGGGAGAAGAAAAGGCACAGCAGCCAGAAGCAGATCAGTTGTGCCAGAATGCAAAGTCAGAGCACTCTGAGCTGTCTAAGCTGGACCCACCACCCTACTCTGTTGGAATAGCTATAGGAAACAGGGTGTTCAAAACTGCCTTCCAAGCCTGGCCTAGACACACCCACTATTTTTTTTTTTTATAATCGGAGACAGTCTCACTTTGTCGCCCTCAGGAGAGTGCTATAGTATCACATCTCACAGCAACCTCTAGCTCTTGGGCTTAGGCGATACTCTTGCCTCAGCCTCCTGAGTAGCTGGTACTACAGATGCTCACCACAACACCTGGCTATTTTTGTTGTTGTTGCAGTTTGGCTGGGGCCGGGTTCGAACCCGTCACCGTCAGTATATGGGGCCAGCGCCTTCTCACTGAGCCACAGGTGCTGCCCTGCTATTTTGTTTTGAAATGTAAAGACAACAGGGCCTAGTACAGTATGAGGTGTATCTACCATTTGTGTGTATGTGTGCATACATATACATTTTTTGTTTTTAATTTCAAGTTAATGTAAGGGTACAAACAACCAGGTAAAAATATTTGATTTTGTTAGGTAGAGTCCCTCTTGTGGTTATGTCCCACACTCAAAAGGTGTGCCAAACACCTCCACACCATGCCCATTCAGTGAGAGTATCCCAACCCACTTCCCTTCCCCTCCCCCCAACTTGACATGAATTTTTCTCCTATGTGGGCATGCCTTAGATCATCTACTGGCTTCATATTAGTATTAAGAACATTGGTAATTGCTTTTCCACTCTTGTGATACTTTACTAAGAAGAATGTGTTTCTTTTTATTTATTTATTTATTTATTTATTTATTTTTAGAGATAGAATCTCACTTTATCACCCTTGGTAGAGTACTGTGACGTTATGGCTCACAGCAACCTCCAACTCCTGGGCTTAGACAATTCTCTTGCCTCAGCCTCCCGAATAGCTGGGACTACAGGCATCTGCCACAACACTCAGCTATTTTTTTGTTGCAGTTTGGCCAGGGCCAGGTTCAAACCTGCCACCCTCAATATATGGTATATGGGGCTGGTACCCTACCCACTGAGCCACAGGTGCCACCCAAAGAATGTGTTTCAACTCCATCTAGATGTGAAGTCACCATCTTTTTAGGATGACTGAATAGCATTCCATGGCGTGCACATACCAGTATTTGTTAATCCATTCCTGAGTTGATGGGCATTTAAGTTGTTTCCACATCTTGGTAATTGTAAATTGAGCTGTGATAAACAATCTAGTGCAAAGTCCTTGTGATAAAATGATTTTTTTTTTTCTAGGTAGATGCCTAGTAGTGGGATTCCAAGGTCCCCACATCTCACAGCAACCTCTAGCTCTTGGGCTTAGGCGATACTCTTGCCTCAGCCTCCTGAGTAGCTGGTACTACAGGTGCTTACCACAACACCTGGCTATTTTTGTTGGGAAAATGGGAAATTTAATTTGAGTTCTCTGAGGATTCTCCATGCTTCTTTCTAAAGAGGCTGTATTAGTTTGCAGTCCCACCAACAATGTAAAAGTGTTCCCCTCTCTCCACATCCACGCTAGTATCTACAGCTTTGGGACTTTGTGATGTGGGCTAATCTCACTGTGGTTAGTTAGGTGATATCTCAGGGTGGTTTTGATTTGCATTTATCTGATGATTAGGAATGATGAGCATTTTTTCATGTTTGTTAGCCATTCATCTCTTCCTTAGAGAAGATTCTATTCACATCTCTTGCTCAGTGATAGATGGGATTGTTGGCATTTTTGTTGTTGATTAATATGAGTTCTCTATAGATTCTAGTTATCAAGCCTTTGTCAGATTTGTAATATGCAAATATCTTTTCCCATTCTGAAGGGTGTCTATTTGCTTTGGTTGTTGTCTCCTTAGCTGTACAGAAGCTTTTCAGTTTAATAAGCCCCATTTATTTATTTTTGCTGTTGTTGCAATTGCCACAGAAGTCTTCTTCATAAAATCTTGCCGTAGACCAACATCTTCAAGAGTTTTTCCCAGGCTTTCTTCTAGGATTTTTATCATTTTTTTTTTTTTTTTTGAGACAGAGCCTCAAGCTGTCACCCTGGGTGGAGTGCCATGGCATCACAGCTTACAGCAACCTCCAACTCCTGGGCTCAAGCGAGTCTCTTGCATCAGCCTCTCGAATAGCTGGGACTATATGCACCTGCCACAACACCCAGCTATTATTATTATTATTATTATTATTTTTGGTTGTAGTTGTCATTGTTTGGCAGGCCTGGGCCGGATTCAAACCCACCAGCTCTGGTGTTATGAGGCTAGTATCTTAGCTGCTTGAGCTACAGGCACCATCTGATTTTTATCATTTCATGCCTTAGACTTAAATCTGTTATCCATCTTGAATCAATTTTTGTAAGTGGTGAAAGGTGAGGGTCCAGTTTCAGTCTTTTACATGTGGTTTTCCAGTTCTCCCAGCACCATTTATTGAATGGGGTTTCTTTTCCCCAGTGTATGCTGTATGCTCTTGCTTGGTTTATCAAAGATCAGGTGGCTGTAGCATGTTAGTTTCATCTCATCATTTTCCATTTGTGTATTTTTAAAAGTATGTGTGCACATATCTATTTGTTGATATAAGCAAAGAACAGGGTTTCTCAATTCTGGCACTATTGACACTTTGGGCTATAATTTTGTGTTGTGGGAGGCTGTTCTATAAACTGTCTCTCTAATACATCTCCACATATTGCTGGATATCCCCGAGAAGTGGAGGTGGAGAATCAACCTCATGTGAGAACCCCTGGCAGAGATGTCTCTGAAAGGACATATAAGAACATGTAATTATAGTTGACTCTAAGGATAGAAATCAGGAGCCTGAACACAACTAGAAAAGAAACCTGGTTTTTACTGTTTGGACTCTTGAAGAACTTTTTATTAAAAAAATAAATATTGTATTAAAAAATACAATACAATATGGGCAGCGGCGCCCATAGCTCAGTGCATAGGGTGCCGACCACGTACACCCAGGCTGGCGGGTTCAAACCTGGCCCTGGCCTGCTAAACAACAATGACGACTGCAACAAAGAAATGTAGACAGATGTTGTGGTGGGTGCCTATAGGCCTAGCTGATTGGGAGGCTGAGGCAAGAGAATCGCTTAAGCCCAAGAGTTTGAGGTTACTGTGAGCTATGACTCCACAGCACTCTACCAAGGGCGACATAGTGAGACTCTGTCTCCAAAAAAAAAGTAAAGGCAGAAACTAACACAGGCTATCTCTGGGGAATGAGGTTGTGTGCCCAGAGGACAGGGTAACAGGGAGACTTTTTCCCATGTCATGTGTTATACTGTTCGAGAATAGGGAGGCTATACTATTCAGACAAACAACTACAATTCAAATTAAATAAAAGGTACAGGCAGAATAGCCAAATATGGCACTTTCCTTTAGAAAAAGCACATCTGTTTTTAAAATACCAGGAAGACCTTTCCTTATCATAGAGACTATATAGCATTATCCAATGAGTTAACCCATGTCCAAGGGTGTGGCAGGCATTCAAACATCAGCAATGATGATGATGATGATGATGATTTTTTTCACCTCATCACATTCAAATGACTGCCACACTTCAGCAAATAAAACCCAAATTACCCAATTCGTTCATTCCATAAATACCTATTATACAGCTTACATGAATGTGGTCATAAGTGATCATTAACACATTCTTTTATTCAGTCCACAAACATTTAGTAAGCACCTACCCCCCAGGACAAACACCAACCAATTCCTGCCTGTGTACACATACAGTGCTCATTTTCCTGGCTCTGACCTGAGCTGGGTCGGCTGCCTGCACCATGCTGTCATTGTAAGCGACAGTTTAGTTTTAGGACAGCATTCCTGCTACACTAAATTAACACCATCACTGAGAATGTCCATGGTTTGGGAGCTGTGTTTGTAAAGTAACTTGTAAGTATGTATTTTTTTTTTTTTTTTTTTTTTGAGTCAGAGCCTCAAGCTGTCCCCCTGGGTAGAGTGCTGTGGCATTACAGCTCACAGCAACCTCCAACTCCTGGGCTCAAGCGAGTCTCTTGCCTCCGCCTCCCAAGTAGCTGGGACCACAGGCGCCCGCCACAACGCCCGACTATTTTTTGGTTGCAGCCATCATTGTTGTTTGGCGGGTCTGGGCTGGGGATTCGGCCCCTCCACCTTAGGTGTACGTGGCTGGCGCCTTAGCCGGTTGAGCTATAGGCGCCGAGCCGTAAGTATGTATTTCATAGTGATGTAGGGACTTCAAGGACATGACATTTATCCCTGACTTTAGGTTTTCACACATTTAGGTCACAGCATGACTAAGCTAAATGCAAATGCAGGGGGAGGAAGGATTCAAGATATTTTTATCTTTAAAGGGATCTTTACTCAAGTTTGAGGAACATCAAATTCTAAGCTATGCTTGTTGTGAAATATTAGAACAAGTAATTATGTAGGAGAGAGTTCTCAGAGAAAAGATGTAGCCTCTCTCCACTAAAGGACAAGCTGTGGAGGTTTGGCAGCTGTGCTCTCTGGAGGAGACCCTGACTGTGCAATGCTGCCTTCAACAGCTAAAGCATTCTGCTTTCCACGTGACTCCTAGGGCTAAGTGACTGGTCTGCTCAGGTCCTGCCAGACTCCCAGAATCCCAAGCAGGAGATGCTGGCAGACTTGTAAGGAGGTGGTGGTGGAAAAAGCTGCCAGGAGAGGCTGGAGTTTGTCCTCAGCTCTGCTGCACAGAGGGGCATTCAGACAGAGTCGACACAGTGCATAACTCTGGGCAAACAGAGCCCCCGGAATAAGTCTACGGGATGTGAGCAGTGGTCAGGCCACGTCCGGATCCACCTATAGCCGCTGGGAGGAGGTGGCCTCTGAATCTTTCTTCTCAGGCCAAAGGAGACAGCCCTGCCTCAAACTTGAAACAGCTGGGGATTAAGTCAGAAGAACAATCTCTCATCAAAGCAAATAAATACCTGTGCCATTTCAAAAGTGGGAACAAGAGGTCTGGTCAAATGTTTGACTACTTGACAGTCTAATGAGATGGCCTGAGAGTCTGGACTGCTTGTAATAAAAATATTTTTAAAGTTATGTAACTGAGTCACCATGGAGTTTTTCCCTTCTTGTAAATATTACATAATTATAAGAAGGAAACACACTTGTTTAAGGAGGGAGGCAGACAAATTGGCTCAAGACACAAATCTGGGAGCTGAGGCTGCTATAAGATACCTTCCAGAAGGTAATTAATCTGTGAACTAGAACCACAACAAAATCTTTTAAAAATAGCCTCAGTATAGGAAGTTTGTTAAACAAAGGATGCTGTGTATATGCACGTTGCAGGTTCTGTAGTTTGGGCGTTATTTCAAAGCACTGTGAATCAAAGCCTTCCAGCCTATATTTCCAGAGAATTTTGAGCCTTCCTCTGTTGTTTTGGAAACTTCAGTCCTCATGGTAAAAATCAACTGCACAATGTTTATTTTACATTTCTCTTTAAATGTTCATCCCCTACCATGAAGAAGATACATATACTTCAGGGTCTGGAAAATAGAACACTACTTTCTTATTATTGTATTTCCAGATGGGGAACACAGAGAGAGAATACATGGCAACGGGACCTAGGGACTTCCTGATGGCAGCAGTGTTCCAAGGGCCCCCAAATGTGGTGGGGACATGGGCAAAGGACCAAACATACCTGTGACAGAAGATAGAGGGACACCGGCAGGCTGATTTTCGGTCGTTCTCCTCCCTAGTATAGGTTGGGGGCAAGAGAAAAGAGAGGTCCAGGTCATACAGTGAGCATCATAAAATACAAGAAACCAACAGCCATCTGTTTGAACAAGAGACACCCTGTCCCACTGACTTCCTCCAATGGCCCTAAAGCTGCCCTTTCCTGGTGCAAGTTAAAAGTCTGAATCCCACTCAATACTGTTGCAATGCCACTATTTTTTCCACCTAAGAAGTCCTTCACTGTTAGTCATGCATTAGAGAGGGACCCAATAGAAAAACCTGCTCCTTAAGTTACAAAGAATGTACATTTCCCTAAGGTGGGGCAACAAAAGCCCCAGCAAGAGAGGCCATCCTAGAGGCCAGACTTTAAGAAGCCATTTTCAAAACATGGGGAAGGGAGACACCTGGGGTATTCTGGCCTTGGAAAAGCCCCTCGCTTGTTCTGAGTTTCAATATGCTCCATCTTGCATCAGCCCTATGAGGGAGGGATCTTCAGGACCCTCATTACGCAGTCAAAGAAACAGGCTGGGGGAGCTGACCACCTTGTCCAAGGTCACAGAGTGAGGAACGGGAACAGGTAGAACTTGAACCCAGGTTTGAAAACTCTACTTTCCACATTTTATCAATGCCTTCCAGAGCTGCCTCTGGTTAAGCTAAATTAGGGTTATGATTTTCTTTTATTTATTTATTTGTAGTGAGAATCCTCATGTTCCATTTCCCAAAAGAAAACTATATCCCTTTGGGGCATCTGTGTAGGGTGACGAGCTGGCTCTGTCCTGCCTCCTATTGGGGCCTCTGGTTACTGTCTTTCTCTTGGCCCCCTTAACTCTAGAAGAACTGGACAAAGAGAGGCTTTCCCTTCCTGAAGCAGTATGTCTCATAGAGAGATCTAAGAACCAGCAGTTCAGAATCTCCTGAGGGGCAGGCTAAGAATGCAGATGTCTGTCCTAGTCCAGACCCACCAAACCAGAACTCCTGAGAGGACAGAGAAAGACCCAAGCACCTGCATGTTAGCATCCTTCATCCCCACAGGGGCCGCTACGGCCCGCTCACCATGGACAACCCTCACCCTGGGATCGTTCCCTACGTGTGCTCCATCCCTCTCTTCCAGTCTGCACAAGTGTGGCTGCTGTCTGGATCCTCTCCAAATCAGTTAGCACTGGCAACCATCAGAAAAAGTTACCAGGGATGAGAACACCTCAGGGAAGGATGCATAGAAACCAAAACTATAAAATTCATAGAGGTTTCCTGTTTCCTTCTGCCAGTAATTTTTTCCCATTCACTTTTATAGTGTTTCTCTCTCTCTCTCTCTCATACACACACACTCTGGAGCATGCTTGCACTTGGGCATTGTTTCTCTCTTTCTCACTCCAGAAAAAAGAGGAAAAGAAAGGAAATCTAGCATCCTTTGAAGGAAATCTCCTTCAGGGTCAAAATCATGGTCCCTTGCAAAGCCCAGTCCCATTCAAGGCAACTGTTCTTTCCCACTCTTAAAGACAGCCTGCAGCCAGCAGAAGCAGTGGGCGCGACCTACCTTGTCCTGGTTCTCCAGAGAGTACACGTAGAGGGGCAGGAAGAGCCTGTTGAGCAAGTGGTCTGTGAGCACATCATTGAGGAACTCACAGTTGATGATCAGAATGTCATTGAGATAGTGTAGGTGGTCCAGGTGCTCAGCCACCAGGTCACTCAGTTTCCCCCGATTCCGGTGCCTGCCGAGAGAAACAATCACCTCAGACTGGAGGCCACTGCTCAGTCTTTGGGCCTAAAGCCAATGGCCTGAAACTTAAATCACTGGGGGTTCATTCATACAACCACTATTTGAGCCAGTCTCAGGTGACACCTATCCCAGCTTGTACTGAGGAGCTAACACAAAGAGAAAATGGACAGGTCTGCTACAATCAATTGTAGAGGACTGTCAGGGTCCCCTCACCATCCAGGGGCCTCAGCAACACTCCTCACACCAACACAGTCTCCCCAAAATGGGATTAACAAAGCAAAATTCAGCTAAGCCCTTACAGAAAGCTACTGAACAAGAGTAGCTACTAGCCAACATGGCAAGATGCCTCTGGCTCCCCAGATAAGCAGCATTACCGGAGAAATAAATCCTTAATAATTAAAATGCTCCAGAGGAGTTCTGAAGAGAAAAGCAGGCCTCAGCAACCACGTGCCCCCAACAATATGCAGGACATAGAGCAAGGACACAACATCCCTCCCCCAGGTCCCTTGCCTGGACATCTCTGTCTCCTTGCAGTTAGCTATAGGCATGCTGGGTGGGTCTCCTGGGTGGAGTCACAGTTACACCCCCCCCCCCAGAGTATCTGTTACAAAGAGCAATCTAGCTAAGGCAGGACATTTTGTTTGCATTATTACCCAAGTAATAAACTGTTATTTTAGAAAACAAAAAATTACAGAAAAAAATAAAAAGAAACCAAAGACTCCTATTAACCCACCATGAACAGATTTCTACTATTAACATTTTAGAACTTATGATGCTATAGTCTGTTTTACCACATTTTTACCTCTCTATAGTCAATCTAGAACACATACACAAGTGTTACCTACCTATCCATCTAACCATATATGCTTAAAAAAATAAGATCAATTTTGCCTCAAAAACTTTTACATTACTTTGGATCATTATACCTTCAATGCTTTAATAAGATATTTAGTAAATGTTTATAGCAAATACATGTTGGAAAGTCTAATAGCATAACAAGCACCCATGAACCCATCATGCACTTGAGACTTTGAACCTTCAAGACACAATGTTTTGCACTTCTTCTCTGGGAAATTTTATATATTGGGATATTACATGCACCTCATTTGTCAATACCTTAGCTTTAAAAATATCAATTTAATATGTGAAAAGGGGTTTAAAACTCCAATAGTGTTAGTGAGCTGATAATGAAAAATAGTAGGGAAGGCACCCATAGCTCAGTGGGTAGGGCGCCAGCCACATACACCAAGGCTAGCAGGTTAGAACCCAGCCTGAGCCAGCTAAAACAACAATGACAACTGCAACAAAAAATAGCCAGGTGTTGTGGCAGGTGCCTGTAGTCCCAGCTACTTGGGAGGCTGAGGCAAGATAATCACTTAAACCCAAGAGTTTGAGGTTGCTGTGAGCTGTGATGCCATAGCACTCTACCCAGGGGAACAGCTTGAGATTCTGTCTCAAAAAAAAAAAAAAAAAAAAAAAAGAAAGAAAGAAAGAAAAATAACAACACCTGGCCCAGCCCCCTTTACTTCTACCCCCTCTTTAGAGGAGGCAGTTAACACTTCTAGTTGTTTCTACAGATAGTTCCTCCCCTATTTCTATAAAATTTGCATGGACTTCTGTTTTGCTATGGAGCCGTTTTAGATTATCTATTGAACTCCTGACATAACAGAACTCTGAGTTCTCTCTGCCCCTTCCCCTTAGTGGTAAGTGAAGTTAATATTATCATAACATTTACTGCAGAGCTAAATAGAGGACTACGGCTTCATTCCCTTCCTTGTATAACTTTGTCCTGCCTGGAGTGCCATTCCTCCTTAGATCTCACATCCATGACTCTTCATATCCACAAGGATTCTTGTTTTCCCAAATGCTCAGTCAGATTTGCCATCAACCTATCCTTGCTTCTTTCCCAGTATCAGATCTACTATTCTATCTGTCTAGCTACCCTACTGCCAGGACCCGCATTCAAGGTTCCTTTAGTGTCCTGACCCTATCCAGCTGTACCTTTTACCACACCTGGGCAAAGTGTCATTCTGGGACAGTGGTTCTCAACTGAGTGGTTCTCAACAACAGTACCCAGTTCAAAAAGTCAGTAGTGCCAAAGGAGGAAAATCCTGCTTTTAAATTTCTACTTATCACTCCAAGGACAAAATCACCATCATAATCTCTTTTTTTAAAACAGATTTGTTGAAATATAAATTCATCTAACATAAAATTCACCCTTTTAAATATACAATTTAATTGTCTTTAGTATTCACAGTTGTCTGACCATCATCACAATCAATTTGGAACATTTTATCCTCCCTGCAAAACTCATTTGCAATCACTTCACATTTCCCCCCCCCAACACTGCCCTCCTCCCACAACTCTAGGGAACCCCTGCCCTACTCTGTCTCCACAGGTTTGCCTATTCTGGGCATTTCACAGGAATGGAATCACCTGACATGTGACTCTGTGCCTAGCTTCTTTCACTTAGCAAAACGTGTTTGAGGTTCACCCACAGCAGAACACATGTCAGTGCTTCATTCCTTTTTATTGCCAAATACTATTCCATTATACAGATATGCCACATTGTAATGATCCATTCATCAGTTGACAGAGCACCTTAATCTTGTGACCAGCTGCCTACCAACCCCATCTCTGGGTGTATAGAATTTATTTACCCTCTGGGAGGCATGTGGGTTGTTTCCAACTTTCTACTTTTATAAACATGTGGGTAGAACATTTTAGAATAGGGAAATCTGTGCTCTCCCCATACATGGCAAGGTAAGTTTTCCTCAGTGAAAACTGAAGTGCCCCCAGCCACCCTGCCTACTACTGAGAGCATCCCAGGGGCATCACTTACTCCTCATCAGTCTGCACACAGTTATCAAGTTCGATCACGTGACTCCCGATGAACCAGACCAAATTGGAGAAGTAAGGGACAGCAGTTTTATCTCTGATATAGTGTAACATGGCCTGGTTATCCACTGAGGAGATTCAGAAAAGAAAAGAAAAGGAAAAAAAAGTCAAGCTACCAAAAATAACTGGGAGGACATTAAAACAAAACAAAACCACAATGAAAAGGCCCTCTGCTATAACCTCAACTTGTCTGTCTTTCCTAGAAGCACTTGAAAATGTTCATCTTATTTATAAAACTAAACTCATCAAGGCAGTTCTTATGTTATTTCTATGATTAATAAATTAGTTGGGCTAAACGTTAATAGCACATTGGAGAGCCTACTTATCAGCAGTAGACTGACCTGGACTGCACTGAAAATTATACCACTTTCAAGCAAGTTTCCTGTATTTACATATAAGGATAAGTTAAGAAATGGAAAACCAGAGGTTAATAACTTACATGACACTGGAATAAGGAACACAGGAATCGTCATTGAAGGAAAGGCAAAAAACAGACAACAGTTAACAGGGTTAGGAACTGGGAAGGTGAGACAGCTGCTCAGAGGTTAGAGAGCTGGGCCAGGGGCATCTAAACCAAGAAAGAGAAGTTAGAAGAGAACAAGAGAAAATAGAGTGCAGGAGGCAGGGGGGCTGGGGTCGAAAACTTAGAAGCCTGCCAATTGGCTGGTGATCCAGAAAGTGAAGCCAGTAGGCCCAGCTTGTGATCTGTGGAGCCTGGACCTTGACCCCAAAAGGAGCAGCTGTTTCCTTGTGTCAGCTATCCCCTGCCCCATAGGGCCACAGGCCCAGAATAGCCAAATTTACAATGTCAAGTTAGAGATCCATATTCTCAAGCAAGCAACTTTTAAATATTGACAACTATATATTTTTTTAAAAACTATGTAAGCCAATTAAAACATATCTCCTTGGGCAGTAAGTTTGCGATCTTGTGGATGGGTCCAACTGAGCTCTCAGCAAGGCTCTTTAATGTAAGCCCAAAATTAAGCTAGAGTGAATAGCTGAGGAAACCCCCACCCCAGTTAGAGGTCATCTCAAGTAATAACATTTTGATTCATGAAGGTCAAAGCTCTCCATTCCCTGAGAAAAAGGAGTCCCAGCTCCAGTGCGGTGACTACAGAGGAATAATCCAAGCATTGGCCAGAGAAATTCCAAGACATTGCCTTGGAGAGACAAGTCCAGCTCAAGAAACCTATAGCCAACCAACCTAGTGCAGTGCAGGCAGAGAGGCCCGCACTTTCTCTTGGTAGCAATGTTTTGGGCATTAAGAACATCTTACAAAAAAGGAGGAATTTATTAGTACTAGGCTTTGTAGCCCATTGGGAATACAATATTGCCCCCTGCTGTTCGTAATATGACATGCTTTTATGTATTATTTAAAGTTATCCCCTAGTTACATTTAAGTATATTCTATAAGCCAAAACACAAAAATTTAAATCTAACTTAAATTTAAAAGACAACTTTGCTTTATTTAATTCTAACATGGCCACTCGAATCCCATGTGTGCCTCTCAGGACAGCCTACTTCTGTGCGGCAGTACTGAGGAAGACTTTAACTTACATGGAGAAGGTAGTGGCACAAAGATTTACATAAGGGGCCAACTAACTGTTCAAAGGTGGCAAGTCTTACATAAGACAAGCAGTCACAGCTTACAATAAACAATCTCCTTTACTGCTTTCAGAGAACTGTATGCACAGACACACAGGAGCAAGTACTTGCTGCCAAGTTAGAAATCAGCCATGGCATGAGTTCACAAGGAAACTTACCTTTATAGACGTTCAAAGTTATGGTTCTTACAGCAATTCTAACCATGCTTTCAGGGTGATTGAAAAATTTGATGGCTTCTGTGTACAGGGCAAAGTCATTGGTGTGCTATAACAAAAGAAGTACAAAAATGAATAGCAAGCATGTAAGCCAAGCCTGCCCCCACCCTACTTTCTGAATTCCATCAGAAACTTCAGTAAAAGAAGAAAAATGCTGTCAGTGTGGACTTGAAGTTCATTCCTAATGGGGAATGTGGAAAGAGATGGGGAGGCAAAGTCATGAAAAAAATAGAAAAGGGGCCAAATAATGTCAGACCCAGGTTCATTTCCTGTTCTATTACTTCTAAGCTATGTGATGTAAAATTTTTAAGCCTCTGTTTTTTCATAGCCATTTAAAATGGCTATAGTAACATCCACTTTATGGTTGGTAGGATTAAAAGAGATCCTTTCTAGTCCCATGCTTACCTCAGCATCTGATACCTAAAAAGCACTCAATGTGACACAATTCTGACTAGTGAGATACAAAGGGAAGTCTGGTAGGAGGCTTCTGGGAAATTTTTTTTTGGAAGTCAAAAGGGGACACAAAAAGGGAAGCAGTTGCAACAGGCACTTGAGCAGTAGCACATGAGTATGTGATGTTTGGAGCTGCTGCAGCCATCTTGTGACCTTGAGAGGCTGAACCAATTGTACAGTCAGTAGAACAGGAAGACAGAAAAGCATGGGTCCTTCTATTGTAGTTGAGACACAGGGTGAACTGGTCCCCAGGAGAGCCAGTGTCTACATTTTGGAATGTGAGATAAATAGACCTCATTGTTCAAGCTCCTTTTAATTATGAGAACAATTATAATTTGTTTATTTAAGCTGCTAATCATTCGCTCCAAGGAATGCTGGGAACATTAGCTGGTAAAGAATAGCAATATCTGGCTTTGGCAGTAGCTCACGCCTATAATCCTAGCACTGTAAGAGGCCCGGGAAAAGTTCCTGCTGGGGAGTAAGTAGATGGAGCCTCAAGTTGGAGGACTGCTTGAGCTCAGGAGTTCAAGACCAGCCTGAGCAAGAGCAAGACCCTGTCTCTACTAAAAATAGAAAAATTAGCCGGGCATGGTGGTGGGAGCCTATAGTCTCAGCTAGTCAGGAGGCTGAGGCAAGAGGATCATTTGAGCCCAGGATTTTGAGGTTACGTGAGCTATGATGACACCACTGCACTCGACCTGAGTAAACAGAGCAAGACTCAGTCTCAATTAAAAAAAAAAAATCAGCAATATCTATGATTTTAGGGAGCCAGGTATATACTAGGTGCTTTGAAAACATCATCCCATTTAATTCAACCCCTCAAAACCCCACAAGGCATATATTCTTATCCCAATTTCTCAGATCAGGAAACTGAGGCTCAGAGAGGAACTGGGACTTCCCTACGGTCACACAGCAGGGAAATGGCAAAGCCAGGCCTGACTGAAGTTCCTGTTTTTCCCATAGGGGAACAGAGCCCCAAGATAACTTCTAGGTACTTCTCCTCTCTGCCAAGTATAATGCTCTCAGCACGAATTAAATTTTACATTAAAAATAGAATGGAAACTTGCATAATAAAAAACAAAATGTTTTTAAAGCATGCCAAAACAGCATGATGCTGCTGTGAAAATCATGATAGTGATTTCAAAATGTTTTTAAAGCATGCCAAGCAGCATAATGCTGCTGTGAAAATCATGATAGTGAGCTTATAAGTGCTTTGTAAATAGATACAAGACACGAGATCCCCCAGATGGCCACTGCAATGATGGGTTTAGCTTTACACACCACTGTGCCCCTCTGGCAATTACTCACCTCATTGTAAAAGAAATGGACAGTGTGGTTATTGAGTTTTAACGAAAGTGTTTTCAGGAACGATATATAATATGCCATAATCTCCTCGTCGGAAAAGTCAAATTTATGAACGATGATAGAATTTACGTAGTTATTAGAGAGTAAATAATCTAGAGGGAGAAAAAAAACAAAGCAAAACATACACAGGTTAATTCGTGCTTAAGGAAAGATAAGGAAAAGATGCCTGGTAGAGCAGAAGACCATATTAAGATACTTGAATCAGTTAAACTTCTGGGTTGTGGGGATTGAACAAACTAAGAAGGAGCAGCTCAACCTTTAACCAGCAAAGAAAGCATCTACTGCACACAGTCACCAGAAAGTTCAAAGGCGTTGCCAGAGAAAAGCCCTTCTCTCCCTCCCACACAAAACAGAAAAAGACACTCAAACATTTTTTCATTACTAGCAAAGTTCAGCAAAGAGACGGGGGTGGGAAGATTAGTCAGTGCATGGGCATTTTCACAAACCACCCATGGATGAGGGTAAAAGGCACTGTGTTTCATAAAAAGCTACCCCATTTTGCCAGGACAAATCACATCATCATCCCTAAATGCTACAAAGGGACACGCATGGGTTTTTTTCCTCCTTAGATAGCAACAAGATTTCATAAAGATCACTTTATGCTGGACCCTACACCATGCCTAGCATCAAGCTACGTACTCTACATTATAATCATCTTCCTATTTTCCAAATGAGCAAAAATAGCTCAGAAGGGTTGACTAACTTGTCTGAGGATACAGAAAGTAAGTCACAGAGAAGGGATTCAAACTCAGGTCAGATGTCAGAGCTTGTGTTTGTTACACACTAATGGGAGCTGACAATGGAAACTGGATGATGAGGGCCTGAGGGCACTGGGCCCAAATGGAGAGGACCTAGCTCCCCAGCTCCCAGTCCTCGCACTGCAGAAATGTAGGCCCAACACAGCAAGAGCTTCTGACTGCGGAAGAGAGGCTGGAAACCACATTATCTTAATGCTCTATCTCCAGAATTTGAAATGTTTGCCACTGGATAAGCTAATTTTTAAACCTATGCCAGCCAACACAAACAAATCTATTAACCCACTGTAGCCTGTGGCCTATAGTTGGAAGTCTTGGTGTTGGCCCTTGCTGGACACATCCCCCTCTGAGTTCTCATTAGCCATGTGCAAAGCAGGCACTGCAGTCCCACTGTGCATCCTTGGAGATGCCAGTGTGTGATCACAGCACTAGATCACCTGCTGCCCCACAGAAGGCTAAAGATAGAACAGAATGGCACAGTTCAGGGCCTCACTACTCAAAAGTCTGGTCCTCAGACTGGCAACACTTCATCCCCAGGAGTTTGTCAGACCTACAGAATCTCAGACCGCAGCTCTGTCCTGCAGGCAGATGTGTGTGGGACAAGCCTGCAGGGGCTTCCCAGGCATGCTGGGGTTTGGGAGGACCCACCTGCCTCCACTGAGATCTTACCCCTGTCACTTTCTAGAGGTGTGATCTTGGGTAAAAGGCTGATCCTACTCACTCCCCAGTTTCCTTGTCTAGAAAACAGAATAACAGTACCTTCCTCGAAGGGCTGTTGTGAGGATTAAAGGAGATAATTCACAAAAAGCACTCAGCTGCCATTATTCTTACCAGTATTATTGAAGATTCAAGATCTCAACTACCATATTTCTAGGATTGAACAGTTACTCCTGGGTAAGTATGAAATTAACCATCAAGTTGTTTGGAACCAACAAGATGCCTAACTCCAGTCAAATATAGGGTTTCTTTTTTTTGTTTGTTTGAGATGGAACCTCACTCTGTCGCCTAGGCTAGAGTGCAGTGGCATCATCATAGCTTACTGCAACCTCAAACGCCTGGGCTCAAGTGATCCTCCTGCCTCAACCACCCCCGAACCCCCAAGGAGGTGGGACTATAGGCCTGTGCCTCCTGTGCCCAGTTAATTTTGTCTATTTTTATTAGAGGTGGTATCTTGCTCTCGCTCAGCTTGTTCTCAAACTCTTGATCTCAAGTGATTTTCCTGCTTTGTACTCCAAGTGTGCTAAGAAACAGGTAAGAGCCACCAACTGCACCCAGCCAATCAAAGTATTATTGTAGTGGCCAGATGTGGTGGCTGTGATATCACAGTACTCTAGCCTGGGCAACAGAATACACACACACACACACAGTGGACACAAAGTTCATGTGCAATATAAAATAGTTTAACATAGTAATTTGCACACAAATTTTATGTCCACCATATATATATATATACCTGACATAATAGTG